TGCTTGCAAGCCGGACCCGGAGGAAGAAAAGCGAGAAGGTGATGGGGTATATTGGTACACCCAACACGCGTATGTCTGTCGTTACGTATATAAAGAGTGATCTCGCGCTCTCGACGAACGGTCATGCCGACGATATCGAATCGCCAAATCGAATCCCCGATTTCTCCCGAACGAGTAATATTTTTTAAGGTCTCGACACGTATCTCTTTCGATTACGTTCGCTTCGTTCAATTCCGAGGAATACAGCTGAAAAATATAGGACAAGAGTTAGAGAAGAATTCTCTGTCGAGAATCTGAAAGTTTGACTAGACTTTTCAAAGAAAATCTCAAGAAGGGTGGGCTGTTCCGTTTTGATTATTTTTTTATTTACGATCTCTGAGAGGGAAACTGACTTACATCTGTCCTGTTTTCTTAAATGAAGACACAGCGAAAAGAGCTAGATTTATTTAGTTAAGATCCGATCTATTTTTAATATATCGCGTATATCGTGTTAAAATTAAAAAGAACGGGAATAACAGACTGGGACTGCATACGCATTCTCAGTATGCTAAAAACTGTAACGAGCAAATAATTTCATCTGCGAAGACTATTTAAAATATATTTGTGATAATATGCGAATATTTCTCATACCTTCATTCTTATGTCATTTCTAATTTAATTCCGTCGCCTGTTATCGTCGTCTTTTATCTTGTTATCAGTGAAAATATGAATTAATTTTTGATGATTAATCTGATTGGTTGGCTGTTTTTGCATAATAAATACATTTTTCCAACAATAATGAATCATGCGGATAAAATTTCAATACACATGTTCAATGAATGAAACACGTATTTTTTGTTTCATAATTTATCAAATTGTCTGAACACAGATGTATAGGAGTAAATAGTGCGATATCTATAAAGTCGCAGTTATTGGCGGCTGATATCAGTAAGCAGATTGTAATTAACATAAAAATTTCTCTGCTCTATTTTTTAATTAGTAACGCTTAACTCGAAATATAAAATACTTTAATATAAACAAAAATAATGTTTTGCTTCAAGATACGAGATAAAGTTTATAATAATATAATATTTATAATAAAAAAAATTCGAACTTGACACACGGTCTTTCGCTTTTAATCGCAATTAGAAAAAGATGGCAGAAATTATTGCAGCTTAATGACTGTGGCTTTCTTTTTTTCAGATGATGCATCGGCAGCAGAATAACCAATCATCATCGTCCAACGACGAGTTCGCGATGTATCCATCAGCCGTGTACCATTCCTCGTGTTCGACGCTACCATCGTCGACATCGACGTCGTCGTTGTCATCGTCGTCATCGAGGTCGTCGACGGGATCGTCCTGTCCCCTACTGGTGTCCGTCCTCACGTGGTCGCTGACGCTTTTGTTGATCTCGTCCTGCATCGGTCTGGGCGCGGATGCCGCCACCCTCAACGGCCATCCCCTGGGCAAAAGGTCGTTCTTCGACATCCAGTGCAAGGGCGTGTACGACAAGAGCATCTTCGCCCGTCTGGACCGCATCTGCGAAGACTGCTATAATCTCTTCCGGGAACCACAGTTGCACATGCTTTGCAAGTACGTTTAATTATCCACAATGACTACATACTTTCGACGGTCGGCGGTTGAAGCACCGCGCGCGTTGCTGCTGTTATTCCGTTGTTGCATGGCAATTTAGTTGACCGTAAGTCAACAGAACATGAGCCATTTGCAATCGTCCGCGATGACGCGATCGACAGAAACAATGATCTTGAGTTGAGAAAGAACCTAAAGCTACGAGCTACCAGTTGAACGCACTAAATATTTTTTTTATTTATAATATGCACATTTTAAAATTTATTGGAATAAATGGATCAAGTGGCATTTAATTCGATGAACCTGCTAAAATATTCTAGTAAAATGTTGAATAAAATTTCTTGATTTTATAAAAAAAAATATTCATAGATATACAAAAATTTTTTAAGTTTCCACTATTATTTAATTAATTAATCTGATACACTTTACGATTAATTCTCAATCTAAGAGATGATAAAAGTAGAGTGCGTTTATCTTCAAGCTTAGCTCATGATCTTAAAGAAGTTAAATTAACAAATACATATTTTATATTTCATTAAAGGATTCTGTGCGGAAACAAAACGGAAAAAAAAAAAAATTTGGACAAGCTTGTCAGAGATCTCTGATCTCATCCTATATGTAATTTACACGATTTATCTCACGAGCTAAGGATTTCCGGCAAAAGTCGCGGAAAGTCTTCCGAATACTAACAGCGAAACGATTTCGCGAATAACTTCCGCGGTGATTTCTACCTTGAAAATTGTCGGTGAACAACGGCCAAGGTGGACGCATGAATATGTACCTTTGTACATATATATCTTCGAACATACACGTGCTTTGCTCTCGGTCTCGTCGCGCGCGCACACACACACACACTCTCTCTCTCTCTCTCTCTCTCTCTCTCACACACTCACACGCACACGCACACATGCATACGTGCATACGTCGGCACGCGTATCGAAATGGAATGAGATTTCTCTTCTATTTATAGCTCGTGCGAGCGAATGCCAACGCACATCCGCTGCTACCTGCCGTTTGTGCGGAGCCGCGTTAAGCCGCTTAACGGCCGTTGCGAAAGAGCTATTGTATGAGCGAGCGAGCGGGATCAACGTGAAAAAGAAACGAATTGACGGGCTACCTCGTACGTAACGCGTGGCGCGTACTAGATTTCGGAAAAATTGGACTTGAGAAGCGAAATGACGTGAAAGGGTCGATGAACCGCCGTTTAAAAAAACTATTACCGGAAAAGCCTAATCTTTTCGCCAAGTGAAAATATTTCCGCACGCGCTCTTACTTTCCGGAGGTAAGGACGAACGATGGAAACTTTCGACTTTAAAATTAATAATATAGAATTATTATTATTGATATGAAACGCGTAAAATTTTCTATGCTAATATATTTTTATGCTAATGTATATCAAAATTATATAAGATATGGATTTGTGTTTGCGGATTATTCCGGAAGTGCTTTTTCAGGATTTTCGAGCTGCGAGTGCTGCCTACGAATGCAACCCGTGTTAATGTAATTTTCACCGTATTTTTTTTTTTAACTCTCTGCAGGAAGGAATGTTTCACCACGGACTACTTCAAAGGATGCTTAGACGTCCTGCTACTGACGGATGAGGTTGGAAAGATCCAAATGTGGATCAAGCAACTCCACGGAGCCGATCCCGGGGTTTAGGTAGCCTTTTCTTTTTAGTTTATGATTTCTCCTTTTATGTGCCCCTTTCTTTTTTCTCTCCGCTTTTCGCAAATATAAAGAACTAACCGTGTCCGCTTGCTCTTCCATTATCCTTCCTCGTCTGCTCTCGTTCCAGTATATACATCCACTCGTCAGAAACGCTAAAACTCGGATTTGTTCGCGCAATCTTTGCGTGTATTCAATGTATGTAAACGTCTTGTAATATTTATGATGTTAAGGTTCGAGGCAAACGTGTTTTCGAGTTTACACTATGCGAAAATTCAATGTGAAAATTGTGACTACGTAATTAAGCTATTAACTCGTGCTTCATCAATCGCAGCGGTGTTTGGATTGAAAATCGTATGCAGACTGATAATAAGTGACAATAGACGAAAATAAATGATATACTTTCGCCGATTTAAACGCGCTATCGAATGTATTAATAATTCGTATGGAAGAAGAGAAAACTGGAGTTTCGAACAAGATATCGCGAGTTTACTCGGTTTTTACTTATGTCTTATTTTGATACATTTATTATTCCCTTTTGTCATTACCTTCAATTATATTTTGGTTGCATATCGATACCATCCCCTGGACGAATATCCACGCGTATTGTAGTATCTTCGCATCGTGATAATGAGTATAAGAACTTAGGTAATTTTATGTAATAAAAAAAGGAAAGGAGAGGAAAGACTTATACCAGCGAGCAATGCTGCAAGAAAGAATGAAATGTGTATTGAAATTTGATTACAGTCGAAACTGTGAATAAATTTTTTTAAGAATTTTTTAGTAAGTCCTATTGAAATAAATTATGGAAAATTAATACGGAACAGAAATGTTTATTGTATTGTCTATTCTGTTTTATTATCTAATCTATTTGGAAAAAAATGCAGCATCGCTGGCGGCTTAATATATAATATCATCTTGTACATTCCAATCTCACATTATCCGCACATTTTAATGTGCATTTTTGTCTTTTTGAAGATGACGATTTTTTGACTATTTTGACTGTTTGCGGTGAGTTCGCGAACGAATGTTTTACATTTTGAATAATTTTCACATCTTGTCGATGTTTTTTGCAGCGTCGTTTTTTTCAGGATGATGAAAAGGTAGCGGATCGACGTAGGAATTTTTAGGAATATTTTTTCTAGGTAGCAACGCTTACGATTTTGCGCTGTTTGTCATTTTTTAATGTTTTTTGTGATTTTTCAAAGCGAAACAATTCGCACTCTACTCGTGGCGCATAAATTCTCGAGGTTACCTGTGTAGAGTGCGAAACAATCGATACCTTCCTACACATGTCCCGATATCAACCTACGCATTAACAATTATCAACTCACAGATCTGTTCGTTCTTTTTGCCTAAACCTGTACATCGATACGGTATCGGAATTATGTCGACATAATTATTGCATTCGAACGTTTTCTGTTTGCGAGTATTATAAATTTCAAAATTGTCTTCCAAAAGTGTCTTCCAAAATTGAGAAATAAAGATATTACGCTGAATATGTGCTTTGAATTTCATTCAAAATTACCAAATTCGAATAAAAGTTTTCTTATCACAATTTTTGTTTTGTTTCTTGATCATTTTTGAACGAATCGCGAACAGGTCCAGTGAAACGCATCACGCCCGAGTTTCGACAATTTACTCGGGCGTCCAATTGATTTTAATTGATCTTACTATTCCCAATCTTTGTCCTCGCCACAGGCAAGACTGCTTCAGCACACAATACTTCACGAGCTGCATCCAAGCGCTGCTGCTTGAGGACGAGAAGGAAAGGTTGCAGGAGATGGTCGAGTACCTAGGTCGCAAGAAACGGGAGTAAACGGGACATGGTCGGAGCAACGACGCGCCGCACCACGAAGGAGACACATCACGCCGTACACATACCCTCACACAAATGCGCACACACAACACACACAACACACATACTTAAACACAATCACGTATGCAAGACCAAGAAGGAGGTCGATGCAGAATGCGGTCTCGAAAAGAACTACGAGAGAGAGAGAGAGAGAGAGAGAGAGAGAGAGAGAGAGAGAGAGAAGAGAGAGAGAGAGAGAGAGAGACGACGT